GTGTGCATCTAGTGACTAAACTGCAGGATGTGAAGTTGCATATAAAATTGAGGTGGGTAAGAGGTGACGCAATCTAATCAAGTCAAAGTCTAATAATAAAGGGAAAATTAACTCCTGTAGTCCTCTCTTCTCCATTCTAAAATTTTTCTCTTCTTGATGAACTATATCAAGGTTTTTTGGAGAAAAAATTACCAAAAGTTCAAAGACTACATAGATAGGATTCCATTTCCTGAGGATGTACTAAGGAAATCAGAGGTAGATAGGAGGCTCTCAGGAATGAAATTCTGATGATAAAAACATTAACAATTTTGATGGGAGTGTAAAAGGAGGAGAAATTTAAGGATACTTACGTCAATGCACCAAAATATCACTTACAAACTCTGCTTTTTTAAAATTGTATTTCTTTATTTTTTTAATTTTTAAATTATGTTTAAAATTATTTTTCTTTCTGAGATTATATTTCGATTTTTTTTCTTTTTTTCTTTTTCCTTTAGTACTCAAACACCAGAACTCAAATACAGAATAGAGAAAAGGGGAAAAAAAAATCATAAACTTAAATATTGAAATTTAAATACAAAGTTAGAAAAGGCATGCAGAAAGCATGTCATGTGCATAGCAGTACATGAGAGAGGATTCAAAATATGTAGCGATAAATTTTCTTTTCAAGAAAGCCTGTATGATAAATACTACATGCTCTGTTGAGAGCTGTCCATTTTTCTTTGTTTCCCTCATAAGTTTTCTTACAATGTTGGACTCTTTCACCTTTACCTGGGCATTTTTTTTTTGTAGTAACAACTTAATTTTTGTTATCACCTCTAGTCCTGGGGTATGGGGGATGGTACCCCTGGACAGTTGTACCCCTGTAGCCTAGAACCAAAATCAAATCTCCAGCTTCTTGTAAGTGCCCACAGCCAGGGGCGTCCTGCCCCACGGCTTCTGCACTCACCAGTGTGTGCTGGTTCTTTCTCACCCCCAGATGATGTGTTTCTCTTAACAAAACCTAAAATCACATTACTTTTTTTGACTTCCATATATCACATTGCTGACTTAACACTAAATATGCATTTTACAACAACCTCAAATATTTATTAAATGAATGAATGAATCTTTTTCAGAATAACCACTATTTAAACAGTGATTTTAATTTAAAAAGCAAACACAAATATTCATAATTAGTATCTTAAATTTGTATGATTAGAGGAAATATTGTGACAGTCTAATCATATATGTCATATGAATATGGTCTCGGAATAAAAAGAAAATATTGGTAGATATATAAAACTATGTGAAAATGCAGAGATTTTTATTGCATGTAATGGTCATGTAATGAATTTGCTATATTAGTTTAGGCAAATCACTTATTCCCTTTGTGATTATTTTTTCCACTCTCAAAATCAAAGCACAAAAAATTTATGCCATACCACAACCACAGTTGAACATTTATAGCACAGATTAAAATCATGTACGATCATATGATTGCAATTGCCTCATTGTGATTGAGAATATTCTCTTTCTTGGGGCCTGGCTCCATGGGCTTGTCTTTGTTTGGTTTCTCAGAGGAAAGATTTTGAGCAGAGCTGTGATTATTTGTATTCTATATCCTGGAGATGGGTACAAACAGAACAATAAGAGAATGCCCATTTGCTTCAATATATACAGACATTATTTCTTCCATCAGAATCATCAGTATAGTAACTTTCTGGCCTTACTTTTGCCCACATAAAGTTCTAATACTTTTCCTTAATGTCATGATATGGATTAAGATGCATGGAAGTTTATCTTCAAAGGTCCCTTCATTTTACAGATGAAGAATCTGAGGCCCAGGTTGGTGCAGAAAGAAAAAATGGCAGGTGCATAACAAACACAGAAATGCAGAGATTTGTTGTCATATGTAATTGCCATGTACTAACCTGATAGCTTAGACAAATCACTTATTCCTTGACTTATTCAAAGTCATGTGAGTAATAAGCGAGAGGTAGGATTTGAACCCTAGTACTCCCACTCTATGGGCAGTACTCCTTCCATTGCACTACAGCGTCTCCCATAGATCACTCAGAAAAAGATACAGGCCATCATTCCAACACTCTCGGGGGCAAAAAAAGCAGTTTTGGAGTGGGGGCACTCTGCCTGGCTTTTGTTAGCTGGATCTGGTGATAAAGACTAAAGATAGCTCAGTGTGGTCTTATCAGGTAAAGGTTTTCTAGCATTTCTCCTCCTCCCCTCCCTTTCCAGAGATGAAGCAGGTTGTATGAGAGAAACGATGCCCAGCAGCTGGTATCAGGGAGCAAAGCCCAACAGCCACTATTCATCTTGCAGCTGTCAGAAGCTGCCCTCCCTGCAAGGGGCAGCTAGGTGGCATAGTGGATAGAGCACTGGCCCTGAAGTCAGGAAGACCTGAGTTCAAATCCGACCTCAGACCAAACACTTGACACTTACTAGCTGTGTGACCCTGGGCAGATCACAACTTTTCTCTGCAATAATTTCCTCAACTATAACATTCACTATCTTGCAGGAGTGTAGTGAGGACAAATGAGATAGTATTTGCATAAGTGCTTAGTGCCTGGCACATAGTAGGTGCTTAATAAATGCTTATTCCCTTATTAAACACTCTGAAATCCCCATGAATGTGCCCACCAAAGCCACCATCCCCAGCAGGTAGCAGGCCCAGTCAGACCAGAAGATGTTGGCACCCATGCAGTACCGGAGGCATGAGGCACATGTATGTGCTGGCTGCATGTGTTCCCATATGTGGCATGTTTATGGAAAAAAAATGTTTTTTCTGCTTTTCTTTGCTACCTCATTCAAGACCTTTTTTGTTGTTCAGTCATTTTCAGTCATGTCCAACTGTTTGTGACCCCCATCTGGGGTTTTCTTGGCAGAGATACTGGAATGAGTTGCCATTTCCTTCTCCAGCTCATTTTACAGATGAGGAAACTGAGGCAAACAGAGTTAAGTGATTTGTCCAGGGTCACACAGCTGGTAAGTGTTTGAGGCCCGATTTGAACTCAGGAAGATGAGTCGTCTTAATTTCAGACCCAGTGTTCTATCCACTATGCCACCTGGCTGCCCTTCAAGGCTTTTGCTTTGAACCACTTATTTCTGTTGTGTAGGAAAAATGTAAATGATCGTGGGAGGAGAGTTTATGAACTGGGATTTTGAGGGGTTATAGACCCTTAGAGCGCTTTGAACCTGGGGTAGTTAGATATTCTGGAGGTGCCATTTGGAAAATGGTACCATGCCTTAAATATATTTGATAACAATTAGCACAGAGTGATATGACATCAGTATTGAAGTTATTGTATTCTCTCCAAAACGTAATTTTGAGATCATGTATCTTTTAAACCAGACATTTTCCTCTCCTGCCAATTGGGCTGATTTGAAAAATATGTTTGCTTTTGGTCAGTTCCTAGCCAAAACTGTCAGCTATGAGTCAGGATAGGCCTACCAGTAATTACCCTGTTCGTATAACGTTTTGACCCCCCCTCACTGTCTTTTGCGCCCCCTCTAGTTTCCTCCACCTGCTCTTTTCCTATCAAATCCTATACCTGAGAGGAAGGCCAGGGGAAGAGTAAGGGGGATGGGAATGGGGAGGGGTGAAGAGATGGAATAAGCATTTATTAAATACCACTATATAACAGTTACTGTCCTAGGCACTATACAAATATTATATCATTTGATCCTTACTAAAACCCTTAGCGGTGAGTGTTATTATTACCTCCATTTTACAGCAGAGGAAACCAAGGCAGACATTAAGTGACTTTCCCATGGTCACACAACTAGGAAGTGTCTGAGCCCAGAGTTGAATTCAGGTCTTCCTGACTCCAGGCTCAGCAATCTATCTACTGCACCATGCCACTGCCCGTTGAGAAAAATATATTTGTACAATACCTGTAAACAGTTAACAACAGCTCCAAATTTACTTTTTCTCAGGAATCTGCATTGAATTTCAGTCTAACTACGTGTTGTTAGAACTGAAACGGACCTTGGCATCATGTAGATTAATGCCCAGCATCATACACTTAGTAATCAGCAGAGCAGAGACTTGAATCCTGGTCATATGATTTCTCATCCAGTGGGTTTTTCAGTACAATATGCTGTTCCATAAGGCTTAAGTTTTAAGCATCAGAAAGGAGGCTACGTAGATTATTTGTGCCTTTCCAAGGCCACTAAAAACAGGTTTGCCCAAATGTGAGGCCAGGCCTGAGTCTAACCCCCAGTTTTTGGATTTATCAATTACTATTGCAACTTACCTTTTTATTTTGAAGATTAGAAAACAGATAATGAAGGTCAATGGACACATCAAGAGAGATGCCATCAGGTATTTATGTACCCTCAATGATGAGTAATAGGAAATGGCTAGAAAACACAAACCATAAATGCCATATATTAATCACCCTAATTCCCTATACATGGATCTTATTTTGTTTTCTATTTCAAGTTTAACTTTGTGTTCTGCTTTGGTCAATCATAAGGAAAACTTATCAGTACCTTTCCCCTAGATTCAGTTTTGGTTTGCTTTGGGATATTTATTCTGTAACATATTTTGAGAATTGAAGAAAGCTTTCATAATTTCACCCTGAGGCAGAATCCAGACCATCTTAATATATTCTTCTCTGCCACCACTCTGGTGCAGGCCCTCATTGCCTCATACTTGGACTGTTGCAGTCACCTGCTAGTGGGTCTCCCTGTAGAAGGTCTCACTCCACTCCAGTCTACCCACCATTCAGCTGCCAAAGTGATCTTTCTAAAGCACAGGACCATGTCACCACCATATGAAAATAAATTCCAGTGGCTCCCTATTGCCTCCAGATTCAAATATATAATCTTTCGTATTTAAATTCCTTCACAAATTTATCCCTTCCTATTTTTAAAAATCTTCTTCCACTTTATTCCCCTCCATGTAATCTATGGTTTAGCAACACCCATTCTCTTGCTGTTCCTCACACATGACATTCCTGACTCATGTCTTTTCACTGGCTATCCCACCATGCCTGGATGCTCTCCTTATTCGTCTCCTACTCCTGCTTTCTCTGCCTTCCTTCGAGATTCAGTTCAAATCCTACCTTCTATAGGAGGCATTTTTCCAGTCTCTTCCATGCCCTACCTTCCCCAGTGACAACCCTCTCAGGATACACTACCCACCCCCCACTCCATATATCTTCTTATTTTTATAAATTTGATTCAGTTCTCTGTATGTTTGAGAAATGAGGCCTTTATCAGAGAAATGTGCTTCAAATTTTTTTTCAGTTACTATTGCTAACTGTATTTCCCTCCATCCTATCTCCATCCCCTGCTCATTCTATTCTCTCTCCTTCCATCTTCTCCCTCCACAAAAGTATTTTGTTTCTGACTACCCTCTCCCCAATCTGTCCTCCTTTCTATCACCCCTTCCCCTTCTCTTATCCCATTCCCCTCCTACTTTCCTGTAGGTTAAGATAGATTTCTATACCCAATTGAGTGTGTATGTTATTCCCTCTTTGAGCCAATTCTAATGATTGTAACGTTCACTCATTCCCCTTCATCTCCCTGTCTTCCCCGCCGCTAAGAGCTTTTTCTTGCTTCTTTTATGTGAGATAATTTGCCCCATTCTACCTCTTCCTTTCCCTTTCTCCCAGTGTATTCCTCTCTCACCCATTAATTTTGTTTTTTAAGATATTATCCCTTCATATTCAACTCACACCTGTGCCTTCTGTCTATATGTACTCCTATCTGTCCTAATAATGAGAAGGTTCTTCTGACTTACAAGTATCATCTTCCCATATAGGAATGTAAATAGTTTAACCTTATTAAGTCCCTTGTGGTTTCCCTTTCCTGTTTACCTTTTTATGCTTCTCTTGAATCTTGTATTTGAAAGTCAAAGTTTCTATTCAGGCTGAGAATTCCAGAAGCAGGTGCTGCTACCCACAGGCGATTCGGTCTCTCCCAAGGCCTGCCCCTAGTTTGTTGTGGTCAGGGCTGTGCTCAGGAGGCCTGGGCTGGACTGCCCTCCTCTCTGACCCAGGTGCAACGTACCTTTCCTGCCGACCTTCTAAGTTGTCTTTGGCTGGAAAATTATTTCACTCTGTCCTTTTGTGGGTTCTGCTGCTTCAGGAATTGTCTCATGACATTATTTAAAGGTGTTTGGAGGGGTTTTGGTAAGAGCTCAGGTGAGTGGCTGCCTTTTCTCTGCCATCTTGACTCTGCCTCTATATATCTTCTACAAGGATAATTGTTCGCGTGTTATCTCCCCAATTTGAATGTGAGACTTTTGAGGACGGGGACCATATTTTTTTTTCCTTTCTTTATATTCCCAGTGCTTATAACAGTGCTTGACATATGGTAAGCGAATGACTGGTTGCATGAATGGGATAATTTTGCTCAGGGCCAGATTTAATTCCACTTGATTATCTTTGGTAAAAGAGCAGAGAAGCAGCATAGGTAATATAAAAATCATGAGAATTTTACTTTCTAAAATAGTCAGAGAAACGCACTTGCTTGGAAATAGGGTCATATTGAGTTGTAGCTGCAATGATCCTTGGAAGTTATTGAATCCAACCTGCTCATTTTACAGATCAGGAAACTGAGGCATACAGAGAGGGTATGATCTGGATGAGGTTGCATAGGTTGGAAGTAATAGAATCATGATTTAAACACAAGTTCCTCAACTTAAGTCTAGGGCTTGATCATTAATTACATCACGGCACTCCTCATAACTGATGGGTTACATACATATTCCTTGTATGGACCAGAATCACTTCTGTGCCCAACATCATTGTCATCATCTTAGGCCACAACATCCCCAAGTGTTGTAATGATATCTCCAGCACTAAGCACAGTGCCTGGCATGTAGTAGGTACCTCATGAATGCTTTTCAGCTGATTGACTAACTGTTGTTGCAGACCAGCTCATTAAATGAGGAAAAGAAGACAGTGAACAGCATCTTAGCTTAATTTCCCCCCCTCCATTACCAATGGATGCCATCTGCCTAAAATTCACTCTCTCTTTCTGTTCCCTTTTCTAAATTCTAACTTCTATCCTTTAAACTGGCAGATAGGCTAGGGAAAGGGTGGTAAGAAAGAGTTAATCACAATTTAAGAGGAAGAGTCATTCTATTTCTCTTTTCTTTTGAAGTGCTTAGCACAGTTCTTGGAACATAGGCGCTTCATAAATGGTTATTTCCTCCCTCCTTCTCACCTCAGACTTTCCTAGAGATATACTAGAGTATGAATAATCCACTAGCACATAAGCAATAACTTTCCAACTTACCCTGGCTCATTCTTCTTAGTTGCTAGTGGATGGCTCATAGAAGGAAAGACACAAATACCTATGAATGACTTTCAAGTCTTATAATGATACAGTATTTCACATATATGAAGAGAGTTTGTTTAGATGACCAAGTTGCTATCCAGTGGCTTAGCAAACTATATTGTCATTTTCTATTTTTGATATACAGTTAAAATGAACGTTAAAACTTCACTATCTGCAATATTTTATTTTCTATAGATAAGTTTTCCTGATGATGTGAGGTTTACCTATTTTAATCTCAAAAAGTTCTTTACTTTGTTTTGTTTTGTTTTGAGACTGGGTCTCCTTGTGTATTCCAGGCTGAAAGAGTGGCAGTCATTTCTGGGCCCACCTCCATTGTTGATCAGCAGGGAAACTTTGACTTGCTCCATTTCCACCTTGGGCTGGTTGGCCCCTCTCCAGGAAGCCTGGTGGACTCCTCCTCCCAGGGGATCATCATATAGGTGCCAACAGAGTGTAGATACCCTATCAGCTTTAGGATTACCACTGCTCAGAACTTCAGACCTCTAGGCATCCACCAGCCTCAGCCTCCCAGTATCAAGGATTATAGTTATTCATCAGTATGCCTGGTCTCAAAAAAAGGTGTGTTTTTTTTTTAAAGAACTTAACTATTTTAGATTTTTTTAATTGCATTACATCCTTCTTGACTTTCTTAAAAAGAGATTAATGAGCATCATTCAAGGCTCTCAGGACTTACTGAAATTTATATGCTTAGAATTATTTATTACTACACTACAAAGGCCTCAGACTGTGGTAGTGTTTGGGGTCTTGGGTCTGCATTCTATAAATTTTTGGCCTCTTCACAAACTTTCAGGTTAATGTTTGACAATTCTTGCTTTGGTAGTGGCATGCCTACTTGTAGCAATCTTTCCGTCTTTCTAATTTGCTGTAGCTAATCTGTCCTGCCTTAAGCAAACAGATAACCAACCTTGCTATATATTTCATATAATACATATGCTCTATATTTCATGTAAAATAAAAGTACATCTTTATAGCAGCATATTTGTAGTGGCAAAAAACTAGATACTAGGAGGCTGCTCATCAATTGAGGAATGACTCAATAAGTTGTGGCATATGAATGTGATGGAATACTTTTGTGCTGAAAGAAACTAGGAAATTAATGATTTCAAAAAGACAAGGAAAGACTGTCGGACTGATACAGAATGAAGTGAGCAGGACCAGAAGAACATTTACATTATAACATCAATATTATAGAAATGAACAATCTTGAGGACTTTTATAAACTAATGAAGAATGAAATAAGTAGATCCAGGAGAACAATTTATGCAATATTAACAACATCGTAAAAACAAAACACTTTGAAAGTTGTTAGAACTATGACCAATATAATGAACATTCAGGATTCTGGAGGACCAATGATAGAACATGGTATTCCTTACAAAGACATGACAGACACAAGATGTAGGATGAAACACACACACACACACACACACACACACACACACACATAGTATATAGCTACTGAGGGAATTCATTTTGTTTGACTATGATTATTTCTTGTAAGAAATTTTTTTCTGGGTAGGGGAAGAGAAGGAGAGAAAATAGATTTCTGCTAATTAAAAATAAATAAATAAAGGTGGAGGGGTAGTGTTATAGATGTGAAATGTCACATATACTTTCAGACAATCTTATAGTATTATCAGTTTTTCCTAACTGTTTTACTCAGTTACAAGAGACCTCTCACAAAGTGAGAGTACTAACCTGTAAATGTTTGTAATATAAAAACAAAACACATTGATAAGACTTTAAAAATAAAATAAGTGAAGACTGGAAATGTTTTTATTATAAAGTGAGCTAGTTGACTTTGAGACAGCTTGTTTGGCTGCTTCCAAGGTGTTTTTGCTTTCCCTTTGGCTCTTAATTGTGTTCAGAATAGATAGGAATGCAAGAGAGACAAGTTCTAGAATGAGAAAATTTAGTTTTCTGTGGATGAGGAGGGATTGAAATAAAATTTGGAGTCATGAAGAGAAATCTTCTTGACTTCAGGCCTGGCGCTCTATTCAGTGTGTCACCTACTTGCCTTCCACACACACACACACACACACACACACACACACACACACACATATAATGATATTTCATTTATCTGAAAGATATGAACCACAACAAGCATATTAATTAAAATTTTGCCTCACTGGTCTCTACTTTTTACTTACGTTTTGATTCCTGGGGAAAACAAACATGTTTTTTTATCTTCTTTAGGGGGTGATCCATGTCACAGGATACATTCCAAAGTTTCAAGGACCTCATAGCCTCCAGTGAGATGTTATACCATTTGGTGACATTAGCTATGCCATCTGGGTTCTCATCAATGTGTTCCTTAGGCGATTCCATCAGCAGGCTTTCATGGGAAAAGTTGATGTGAGGGGCAGGTTTTCCTGTAGCTGAGCAGATGGCTATAAGGATTCCCTCATCGGGACGAGGATGACACTCAATTCTTAATTCAGACACATCTAAGTCAAACAAAAAGAAAATTCAGAAATCACTCATATCCATAAAGCATACAAATTATTTCAGTCTGGACCTATATTTTCATTGGTTTAGGGAACGCCTAAGTAGTTCAGCAACTTACAGTCTCAGAGCATTTCCAAGAGGCACTGAATGGTTCAACAAATGGCCCAGAATCCCAGAGTCAGTATGTGTCAGAGATGGGTGAGACGTGAACCCAGGTCTTCCTGTCTCCTAGGCCAGGCCTGGATCTATTAGGCCATACTAACTTCTATACTGATAGTCCTCCCCAAATTTTTGTCATGAAGCTTTAAACATATTGATAATAGTTTTCCTGGGTATTTGTAGTCATGTACCCTGGGGCTCCACGAACTTCTCTACATTAAGAACAGTAAAGAGTGTGCGTCTTCATGGAGTCTTTAAATTAATTTCATTTGAGGGCATACAATCCTTGACTTTGAATATTACAAGAAGAAAAGAAAGTTACCACAGGTAAAGAAACACCCAGGTATGTGTGTGGGTGGTTGGGCGGGGAAGGGAAGAGGCAAACAGCAGTCACAACTGAACCACCAGTTGACTTTTTTTTTGAGCAATTCTTTACACTGCCGTACTCATCTTTCATTCAGATACTTTTTGCTATTGTTTAAAAATAAGTATCCACCTTTATTAAATACCTTCTGAATGCCGAGCATTTTTGTAGCCTCTATTTGCATTTTCTCAACAAGAAATACTTGGACTTACTTCACAGGTCATGACCACATAAATGTGTTATTTGACCTAGGAGATATAGCGTGGCATGATGAGAAGTTTAGATTAAACAATTTCTAAACTACCTTCAGTCCTAATATTCCATGACTAAAGACCCTGACCTTAAACGTCATTATAACAAAGTGTTAGGTGTAATGTCTGCGCCTCCTCTGTCCCCCCTTCCAGCTTTTGGGACAATCTGGCTCTTCTAGAAAACATTATGGCACAAAGACAGTTTTCCACTTACTTTGTACACTGAAGCACATTTGTCCTCCATGGATACCATCTGGAAAAACATTAAAGAGACATTTGTAACATGCATCATCCTCCAAGGTCACATTATATATAGTCATGCTTGATGATGTCAATTCTGCACTGCTGTGGTGGATCCTTTCATCGTACGGCGGGAAAATTTTTCCACCATACTGGCTGCTGTAGGTGCCTATGTTTTTTGGTATGGACCCTTGGACCTTTTGCCAGGTAATCTGCAGAACATCTGCTGGGATCGTCAAGTTACATTTCAGGGTCACATTGTTCCCAAGAGGAGCTATATCAGTGCTTTTATTCTTCGTTACAAACAAAGAATCTGAAACTAAAAAAAAAAGCAACAATTAAAAGAAAAAAAAACAAAAAACATACAATCTGAACAAATGTAGGCACAGAAGGATAGTAGAATGGGCATTGAGTGGGTCACATGACCAACAAGATGGAGGACTAGACATTTTCTCTGATCCTCACAATCTCTCAAACCTGTCCAGAACAGAAATTATGCACCAAAGATAAAACAACTCCAGCTATCTCCATGGCCTAGGACACCTGGAACCAAAAAAAGAACTGAAACCTATCCCAGCTCACCTGGTATGCCTTCTCCCACTGCCAACCATATTACCAGTTTTGAAGTTATACTAGCTGACCCAAGGACCCAACCCCTGTTCTCCTCTTCCTTTTTCCAGTGAAGATCCAGGCTGCAAATTACAGAAGTTTGCTGAGACCTGGGTGTCCAGTGTCACAACAACATTCTGTGCTGCAAAAGATTTCTACTGGAGTTTGGAGGATAAGAAAGGAACAGGACATGTGTCTGGACTTGAAATAGATCTCAACCCTATGTGTTACCCCCTTCCCCCCAAAATCCTGAAAACTCCAAATGATAGAAATCACCTTTGATCGTAATGGCACCAGGATGGTAGAGCTCTGAACCACTGGGCCAGAGAACTGAGGAACCCAAGGAATGGGAAAGGACAACGTGGGAGTATATTGGGGAGGGGGAGGGCGGTATTAAATCCAATTCAATAAACATTTATTAAGTGCCTACTATGTGCCAGGCCATGTGCTAAGTGCTGGTGATACAATCAAGAAAAGGAAAGGCAGTCCCTAACTTCAAGAAGCTTACGATCTAATGGCGTGCAGGTAAAGAAGAGACAACATGCAAAAGGAGGCAGGAAAGTGGGGGAGACATCAGGATACAGGGTACTCAGGGGCATCTTGTTTTGTGGAGTTGAGACCAGGCAGAGCAGTAGATGCAAAGTGGAATGAGCTGAGAGTCCAGCTTCTGCCTAGAAGGCAGAAATAAGGGACATTGGGAGGAGTTTGGTACTTCACCCTCCAATCAGAGGAGAGAGGAAGCTGATGGAGGTAATGTCAGTTAAGGCTTGAGTTTATAGCATGGTGGTGAGATTAGAAGTGATGTGTTCATCCTGAGAGGGGCATATTATTTCATGGCATTGAAACCAGGCAGAGCAACAGATGCAAAGTGAAATGAGACTACATAAATGGGAGGAAAATGGATGTTCAATAATAAAAAGGTATTTGAAACATTACTAGAAAGAAAACTAGACCTGAAGAGATTATTTGCTTCTTGAACTCACCTGACAAGAGAAATACAGGAGGAATGAATGAATGTAGCAGCCAAAGAGAGCAACATGAAACAATGACAGCAAAGTCCTAAGAGCCTTCTTTCTAATGTACACAGGGAGGCAGTGATAAAAATGGAAGTCTGGCGGAGGTAACAATGGAGAGGCAAGCCTAAGACATTATGGACAGAAACTGGTAACACCCTGCCTGTAGCTTAATCATTATTTGTTTTTGTGGGACTGTATAACAAAATGGAAGGGTACATGAAAGGGGAAAGGTAAACGGGGAGAGACAGAAGTATGTGATGTATTTGGTCAAAGTGAAGTCTAGGAATGAGGGAAAGGTGACCCCAAGAGCTGGCAAGACAGTAGATGATGGGAGGGAGGGATCAGACTATTGAAAAACTGGGAAGAGAGAGTTCTAGCTTTGGTGGTGAGAGGCAGTTCTGCAGATGAATGCTCCTAAGGGTGAAAAGAAATGTGTGAAGGGATATTAGGACCTTGTTCAAGGTGTTATCTGGGGAATTTGGTACTTTAGAATAAGTCTATTCATTTTACCTTGGGAATGGCAAAGTTGGAGTTCCTGAGGACAACTAGTGAGTGGGAGGGCATGCACTGAGGGAGGAGATTAAATGGGGAAATAAGGTAATCAGGTGGCAGGAATAGATCCAGTTGCTTCAGGGAAATTGTGTGTGTGTGTGTGTGTGTGTGTGTGTGTGTGTGAGAGAAAGAGAGAGAGAGAGACAGGGAGAGAAACAGAGAGTTGGTCCTATGAATAAGTGTCCTCTCTGTAACCTGCAAGAATTGGCATCGTTTGGGGAGTGAGGCACTGTTGAACAAATAAACACACTGACTCCACTATTTCTTAGGAAAGACACAAAGGAGGGCTTCCAGCACCTCTCTCAAAAGCAGGGAAGACAAGAGTGGAGTCATAATAAGGGGTTAAATAAGCTTACTTTATTCTAGTCTAGTCTTCTTAAAGGGAGTTTGCTGATAATGGAAGCACCAACTCCTACAGCATTCCTTAACAACCCTTCTTGCAGGGGCCAGAATGAATGGGGGGCAATAACCCCTCCGTCTCGATGGGGTCAATCAAGACCAGCACAACTTCTGCTCTCTGCTAAATCCCCTCAAGCCTCAATGGGGGCCAGTTGAGGCAAACACACAGATTCCCCCTCCCAACCCTTGATGGGGGCCGATCAAGGCACACACAGCATTCATCCTGCACATTCACCCCTTAGGGGTCCCCAGTCACTCACCAGTGCCCACTTGCTTTATAGGGCAACAGACAAGGCATATTGCCAGCCATAGCCTCACAATTTTACATCACTTCATCTCTATATCTACTGCACAAGCGGCAGAAACTGTTTTGAACCATGATTGTGAGAACTCTAACACCTGGGAAGTAGAGATTGCTATGACTGGATCCTTGGAAGAAAGAATAACAAAAAATCCACTTTACAAACACTAAAATTCACCTTACTTACACTCCACCCCTCCAGGATCCACATAGCTAACACTTGGCCCTTACAATCTACACAGGTAACACTTTGGCTCTTACAGTCTACATAGGTGACACTTTGAGGGGTCCTCAAGCCAAGAAACTAAAGCGTAATATCCACAATCCATAATAACATAACAGCAATATAAACTGCAACAATATGCAAAAATAAGATGCTAAAATAACAATATAGATTCCAGCAACATAGACATTATGTTGGGCATGATCAAGTATACAAATACAGTATATCATCAGAGTGGTCACAAGGCCTAAAACTGAACATAGCATTCAGTGTGTAACGTAGCACATCTCCCTCCCCCCCATATACATTCTTTGGGGGACCAATGTCTTTGGGGAGCTAGCAGTCAGCTCCTCCTCCCTCTGGTACTATTCAGTCCCAGGCCAGGGTCTCCCCTTAACACAGCCCATCCCCAGGGGCAGCAGAGAACACAACACTCTCCACCCCTAGGTGAGCCACAGTAGGCTACAAGTTCCCTCAATCAAAGCAGAGGGTCCAATCCTCTTGCAGAAGGTCCTTGGTGCCTCCTTGTAGGCTCCCACCTGGTGCTCCTTGGCGTGCTCACATTTGAGTGGGCCAAAAAGTACAAGTCCCAGTACGGCTCCATCCCCCACCACAAGGTCTGGGGGTTGACTGGGAGACAAAGCCAACAGGGTGGGTCCCCATCCCACCAGGGACAACCCCACCCCTGGGTCCCAACCCATCCCAGGGGGACGTAGTAGGAAAGCACGCTCAGTGCTCCTGCCTTGCTGAGAAGTTTCCATCTTGACCCAGGGCTGAGTCCGGGGCTCCTTGGCTCCCTGCTCCTGCAGCAGGTCTCGCCTCACGTTGGAAGGGGCTGCTCTACCCTCTGCAGCTCCCTGCTTCCTCCTGGGTCCAGGCACAGCAGGCTCTGGGGTCTCCTGCCCCCAGCTTCTGTCCCTGGCCCGCACCACCCCAACTCTGGGGCAGCTCTACCTCCCCCTGCACAGGGAAAGGGTCCACTTCAACCTGGGCTCTGGGCACAGCACACTTCCAAGGCCTCTGCCCCTCTGGCACTCAGGGGCCTCATCTCACAGGATGGGGCTACTCCAGCCTGGGCTCTGGGCAGCTTATCTCCCTCCAGCCTCTCCTAGGGAGGGGCTACTCCCACCTGGCTCTGACTCCAGAGATGGCCTTGGCTCTGAGAAGTTCAAAAGAAATTTCTCCGACCAGGCCTCCTCCCCTATCTCCGGCTGCTTCTTAGCTTTAACCCTTTCCTCCTTTGGTGCAAGGAAACTGAAGAGGAATTTCTCCCATGCACCTTTTACCTTTACTACAACAAATTCAAAGTCTTCCTCCAGCTCATCTGAAAGCTCTGGCTCTTGAGCAGAGGGAATAACAAACATCCAAGCCCTGAGAATTTGGGTCTCAGTCTCTAACAATTCTTGGGTTTTCTCATATGCCTCCCTTTCCTCCCATTCCTGAGATAAATCAGTCCGAACCTCTCATAACTGGGCTTCCACCGACAGTAGCTGGTCAGTACTTTTTCTCACAACGGTTAACTTTAACAAGACTAGAAACTGAATTGCCTACTTTCCTCTCCCAACCCCCGCAGTCACAGTCATAGTCACCTCTGACTCATTTTCTCACAAGTACCGCTGGGATAGGGAAACAGAAGGAGAGGTTGTCCCCAGGGGGCCCTACTCGAGGCTCTAGGGAAACCACTCCCACTGCTGCTGCTGCTTTCGGCCCCCGCTCCTCGCCTGGCTCGTCTCAGGCTGCTGCTACCTGCTCCAAGGCCACTGCCTCTGCCACTGCTCCAGGGTCTCTCTGGACTGGTCCAGAATGCTGCTGTCTCTGCCACTGCATACTGACTCTCCCGCTCCTTTGGGGCTAAGTCAGTCTGAGTCTCAAACAGGATTCCTACAACTCCCGAAGCCTTTCTAGCTCCCTTTTTATCAAGTGTTCCCCCAAAACTTCAGCAAAACTTTCTCAAAGCCTCTGGGGGTAAGGGGCACATCCTCCCACTCCTGGGAAGGAGGCCATCCTCCATCCTCCCATCTCTGGGGAGAAATCCATAGAACTATAGTTACATAAAATAACAAAATCGTAGGAAATCATCTTGGGATACCCATGCCAGTCCTACTAAACCCCATGTTTTCCTTCTGGCCTTCAGTCTGCGCAGATCCTGCCCACTATGCCAAGTGTTGAACAAATAAACACATCGACTAAGCCATTTCTTAGGAAAGACACACAGGAGG